ATCTAGGGACCCCACGAGTATCCACAAGGTGTATCACTTAGAAGCTAAATCATGAGGAGTTTTTCTACCCTGAAACCTTTCCAGTGGATTTGGGATTTCTGCAGCCTTTTGGATAAAAAATGATTCTAACAAATTTCCATTCACATAAAGTAGTGTGCACATGCATACACGCATCTATATACTCATTGCCTTCCTTTTTCCCTCAGACATAAGCCAGTGCCATTCTAACAAGTCTCCTTTTTGGCTCTCCTCACCGCATGTTATTTTTTTGTTGCTGTCCCCTCTTTTTAAATGTCTGCTTTTCTTTTTCTAGGAGAGAACTGTTTCTTCCCCAGCTCTCCCTTTATGTATCTCATATTACTACTGTTCAAGAGAAATCCTGGACAGGGCTGTGCTCTCTCTGGACTGGTCCCAGTGCCCTCTGTGAGGCTTCTCTTTCCTGGACTGGACTGAAATTTGACAGTAATCGCTAGAGTGAGAAGAGGCCACTCCTTAGCTGCGAGTCAGTCTAGACATCGATAATTCCCTAGCACAGTCTAAGCTTTGCCAAAAATAATAAATCAGCTTGAAAATATGCAGCTTTGGAAGGCATGAAGGCTCATTGGAATTCCAACCACATAGTCAGCGCTCTGTCTCCTCAGAGCGGTATCCACACGCACATGTCTACCTTAGCTGAATATTGGAGAAGGGAGCTCTGGGGAGAAAAAGAAATAAGAGTTCAAAAGCCCAAAGATATAGCATACTCGGGTGAGAGTAAATGTTGGGAGGTATCTTGAAGTTCCTAAACAATTAATTAGCAAAAGAGGCCAAACACCTTCACAACTTCCTCTTGGATTGTTTATTGAGCTCAAAAGGGGAGCTAAGTGGAAAAAGAACCAACCAATGGTTTACCTGACACCGGAGTGGGTAAGGGTCTCAATTTCTAGAGAAAATCAAAGTGCTAGAGAGAAAAAGCAAGAAAAACCCTCTAAGACAGCCCGTTCCTGAGTTTAAGAGGGATCAGTCACACTCTTATTTTGTCAGTTAATACCTATGAACAGCAGGTGGGAGGCATGGGCCATGGGGGATGGGACAAGGAAAATACAGTTTGTTTGATGGAGTAAGAGGCGAGGAAGGACTCAGGACATGAAGCTCTGTTGGTCACCATTGTTAGCAACATTAAGCGCCCTCATGCCCTTCAGAAAGGAATCTGAACTTCGTGTGATGGGGGCTGGTAGACGCTTGAAGTAGAATGGGCACTATGCATAGCAATCTCAGAACAGTGCAGATCAGCCAGCGTTTCACCCTGTGGGAACAGGGCTATTATGGGTTGGAACGAATTCAGTGGTGCCCAATAATAACATACCTTACTTGTGATTTTAAGTGCTTCCAAGACTACATATCTGTCATAAAGCTGTACTCTTCAAATAGTGAACGCTATGAATGCATATAAAATGCACACAGTTCAAATCCACTAGCTGTTTCCTGGGAGAGAGTGCAATCTCTCCCAAGTGATTTACAGTCTCAGAAACCCACTGGAGGATCAGCTATGAGTTGGTTTCACTACACAGTGTCAGTTTGTTTTTGAGCAGTAAAGAGAGTGTTATAAGCTGATAGACCTCTAGGTGGATTCGAACCACAGTATTTTGGCCAGTAGTCTGGTATTTCATTCCTGTGCTATGCAGGCACTCCCAGGAGGGCCTAAGTTGTCTGAGGGATTTCTTTTAGCCACACAGATCAGATCAATGCCTGCCACAGACAGAGACACAGCTTGGCAGATTGGAAGATTTAACCTAGCAATGAGGAAATGAGGTTTTGACCACCCAGCAGAGGATGTGGATCCTGGAGGCCAGAGCTCTGTGCACCTGGGTTTCCCTGTGGCATCATACAAATTGATGCCTTAGAAAGAAAATCCCCAGCACAGCCTTTGAAGGACACAGGACATCTGGTGGCTGGTGAGGTCCCAGGATCAAAGGCAGGCAATGCACTTCAGTAAATGTTTGAGTGCTTTTAGCTGCGGCACTGCGCTTCCTGGTGTCGTTCTAGAAAAAGGCCTGGCATAGCCACCTGGCACTGAATTATGAAAACAAAAGCTGCATGGACTGCTTATTAATGTGCGTCATCAGCATTGTGGGGCTGTGCTTGTCGGCTGTGTGTGGTCACCACTCCCCTGAGACACAGCTTTCCATGTTGTAGAGCTATCTCTACCATATGTATGGCCTTGCTCATGTCACACTAGGGAGACTCAGTTTCCTTGTCTGTAAAGTGGGATGACGCTTACTCCACAATGCTCTTGGGAGGATGCTAGGAATCAGTAGTCTTTCGGGTGCTTTGTAAACTGCAAGACATGATTTCACAGGGATGCCTGATGTGGGCTGGAAGTGAGGTGAGCAAGCAAGTACATGGATCCTGTGATCCTGCAGGCAAATCTTTCTCATCACCACGGCCTCTCTTGGCATGAAAGGGCACAAGATCAGAAAGGAGTCCAAGGCCATGTGTCTGCCCACCCTACAGCTGTCACCTGGTTTCTGAGCACAGTTCTGTAGTATCCAGACTGTTTTGAAAGATGATCATGAAGACTGGGCCTCTAGCTGGTCAGCTTATGTCCAGGCAGAGAGGCCAGTATGGCCCAGGAGTAGAATTCTCACCTTCTAAGTCCAATTTCTGGCTAGTGAGAAGCCATAACCTGTCTGTCCAAGTGGCAGCTCACATGCTGCTCTGATACAGAACAGGTTTCAGCAGAACTTCTCGGCTAAGCTGAGCCAGGAAGAAAGGCTTAACAATTTGCTTTCAGAAAGCAGACAATGTAGTAATTTTTGAAATCATTGTTCCTGAGTGCTGTATAGTATTCCACTGTGTGAATGTACCACAGTTTCTCAGTCCATTCAATTGTGGTTGGACATTTCCCATGTTCTTGTGATGGTGAATAATGCTGCTATGAACACTGGTGTACAGATCTCCATTTGTGTCTCAGTTCTAATTTCCTGAGGGTATATTCCTAGTAGTGGAATAGCTGGATCATACAGAGTTTCTATGTTCAGCCTTTTGAGGAAACATCAAACTGTCTTCCAGAGTGGTTGTAACATGGTTGTACCATTTTACAATTGCACCAACAGTGTATGAGAATCCCCACCTCTCCACAGCCTCTCCAATATTTGTTTATTTTTTTGCCCTGCTAAACTTTGCCCCTGCTCCTGGGATAAGATGGTATGTCATTGTGGTTTTGATTTGCATCTCTCTTATTGACAGTGATTTTGAGTATTTCTTCAGGTATCTGTTGAAGAGCATTATGCTGAGTGAACTCAGTCTCATATGGACAAATACTGCATAAGAACATTATTGTAAAAATAGAAGGATAACTAGTAAAACATGTATGGGTACCTAAGGGGAGAAGGGGTGGAAGCAGAGGGGTGAGGATGGGTAGGGGTGAAGGTTCCAGAGGATTGCATAGTTTGGTGGATGGAGGGAGGGCGTGAAGGAAATAGGAAGGATAAGGTGGAGACCTGAAAAAGATTAGGTAATGATGGGCAAGGTCCAATGGTGATTGATTTTATAAAATATAATACATGAAAATAACTGTATGAAACACAATATGAATGAAGAATAGTGCAAAACACAATGTTTATGAACTGTGTGAGCAACCAATATAAAATTTTTAAAAAAGGAACAAAAAGTTTTGGGTTTTTTAAAAATGGGAACAACAAAACAACAACAACCAGCCAATGAAAGATCAGTTGGTGAGAACAGTCTGGTCCAGTGGTATGTGGAGCTGACATGAGTCAGAGGTCACCTCAATGGCAGCTGACAGCATACACAGGCAATTGATTGGTTGCAACAGAGTGATGGGCAGGGTCCTAGGAAGGCTACTACTACTTTCATACTTCCCCTTCTATTAAAGTGCATGAGCTCTGGTGGCTCAATTGTAAAGAATTGTGCTGCCAACATAATAGTATGCAGTTCAAATACACCAGTTGCTCTGTGGAATAAAAGCAGACAGCCTCATTCTGTGCAATTTACTGCCTCTGCAAACTCACTGGAGGATCAGCTATAGGTCAGTTCCAACTTGATGGTACATAATAATAACATTAGAGTATATAATGTTTAGGCTTCTAACCAAAAGGTTGAATTTCAAATCTAGCAGCTGCTCCTTGGGAGAAAGATAGGTCTCCTCTTGTAAAAATTTACAGTCTTAAAGACGTGGTGAAGGATCACTTTGAGTCAGACTGTCTCAATGACAGTAAGGTGGAGTTATAAACTTCTACAGTGTCTGAGTCAAAAAAATAAAAACATAGCAGAAAAACCCCCAAAACATGGATTCACCAACTTGGATGGTGGCCCCACTTGCTACAAAAAAATGCCCCGTTGGATTTTCTTGGTTATAATCTTCTTGGAAGTAGATTACCACACCTTTCTCCAATGATGCTGTGGAGTTTGAACCACCAACCTTCAAGTTAGTAGTTCAGTTAGCTATGCAGCTAACCATCTCTTTTAATTATCCCATCTCCACTTACAAAGAGCATGCCCATCTGCTCTCTTTTTTTGATATTATTTCCATTCTGTGGATAAGGAGCTCAAGACTAAAAATAAAAAAAATCAGTAATTGCTGTAAAATCATTAGCTAATGAGCATTAGGATTGAATGTGCAACAGGATTTCTGAGCAAAGTTTAGAGAGGTAAGTCATGGATGTGCGTGAGAAGTGCATGCTCAGAAAACTGCTGACGTGGGCCTGAAAGGACAGGACCAGTTTGTTTAGACAGGGAGAGAGGAGAGGAATGGGTCGGGAACATGAAGTGAGCCGTGGACTTTGAAGGCTTGTGGAGTGTGGGCTGAGGAGGAAGTGGGGAGAGGAAATGAGAGAGAAGAGCTGATGGGCTGATGGCTTGGAGGAAGAGCCTGCAAAGCCCTGAGACTACATTACTAGGAACATTCCTTCTAGACATGGGTGAGATCCATCAATTCCCACTGTGACCAGAGCTGCCCATTCCCAGGTTACAGCTTCAGGCCGTGGCTGTGATCCTACCTCAGTGGTCCGAAGGCCATTCTGTTTCTGGGTGAGAGGGCCGGAGCTGAGGCTCTGGGGGTTGGAGCACTGGGTCCCACAGCTCATCTTCTTGTCTGGGTTGGATATTCCACTGGGAACTGAAGATCGAGGAACACCATTGGAGGAGATGCCGTCTTCCAGCACACCTGGGGGCGTAAGAAGAGGATGGTACCAGAGGTTTGCACATGACAGCGCTTCAGACAATTGTTGGGATTGTGGTGAGAAAGAGATAGGCAAGGATAGAAGTTACTAGAAATCTCATCCTTTGGAAAGGACTACCCTTTCTATAAAACATGCATGACCTTTTTGAACAAAAATGAAATTTAAAAGTGATTTTTGTAAATGGAAATGTATTCTCAATAATAAATCTGTATCTTTATATATGATAGTCTTAAACCATTATATATTCATGCATTATATATTCAATCATATTGGGTTTTTTCTTACTGAGTTGCTTATTTTTCCAAGATTTATTATGAAAATTTTCAAACATTCAGTAAGTTTGAAGGATTTACTTCTTTTATAAACAAGCATTATATTTTAGAACAATTCTAGTCCATATTAGTTTTTAAACTTAGTCTGCCATTGTATTTAACAATGTAATTGCTAACTGTAATTGCATATATTTTTCTACTTTTTCATTATAATAAATAATCATTATCTCACAACTCCTTGTAGCCAAGATTCTGTTCTTAATTACTTTCTTGGGATAAATTCCTAGAGTAGGATGATTAGCTTAAAGGTAAAGAGATTTTTGTGTAATTCCAACTTCACATGTTAAACTATGCCTATTCCTCTTCATTAACCAACAGAAAAAGTTCGTTGTTTAATGCGATCGAGTTGGAACTGAGTCACGGCTAACCCTCCGGTGGGTTTTCAGAGGCTGTCAATTGCACAGGAAGAGCCTGCCCATTTCCTCTTGTATAGCAGCTGGTGAATTCAAACTGTGGACCTTTGGATTGATAGTGCAATTCCTTATCATTAGGCCACCAGAGATCAACAGAAGAAGGAGGGGTGTAGAAATAGAAGGAGTGAGAGAGACTCTCAGTAAAATGGATTGACACCATGATTGTAAGAGCACGCCAAGCATTTCAGAGATTGTGAGGACAGTACAGGATAGGACTAGGTCCAACTCTGTGGTTCATAGGATAGCTATAAGTTATAGTCGAATACCATGGACTGCCAAGAGAACAAACAGGTTTGTCCTGGAGAGGGTAAAACCAAGTTGTTCATTGGAGGTAAGAATTTGGAAGCTGTCTGACATACTTTGATGCATGTGGCCAGGAGAAACCAGCCATTGGAGAAGGACATCATGCTTGGAATAGATGGAGGGACAGTGCAAGAGGGGAAGACACCAAATGAGATTGATTGATACAGTAACTGGGGTGATGGGGGTAGTCGTATCAGACACAGCGAGATTGGCTCAGGATAGAGCAGAGGTCAGAGTTATTGTGCATAGAGTCACTATGAGTCGCAGTTGACTTGCCAGCACATACAACAACAACATGGAATGTGTGGCTCATGGTTTCTTTGAACAGCTACCTCCTTTACCATGAGACCAGAATTCACAGAAATAAAGATTTCTTAGACATGAAGGATGGAAGCACCATTAGTGGTGCAGTGCTTTATGTGTTTGGCCACAAACCAAATTGTTGGTACCTTGAATGCACAAGAAAAAGGCGGGAACTCTCTTCTTGTAAAGATTCACTACCTCACTCTATTCTTCTAAAGATTCGCTACCTCAAAAACCCAATAGAGGTCATCATGAATCGGAATGGGCTATATGGAAGTCGGCTGGTGGGTTTGGTTTCTAGAAGCGATGAAACACATGAGACCTCAGACTAAAATAGTCAATCAAATTGCCACGGAACAAAGCCAAAACTTCACCTAGACACCCTGGTAATTAATGACATAGAATATAATGCACATGAATGATTGTATAATGCACAAATGAGTGATTATATACAAATACAAGGACAGCTTCAAAAGAGGAAAGAAATCAAGAATGGGTTTGATGTCTTTCTTTTCATGAGCAAACACTGAAAACAAGCCAACTAAGTGGGGAAAATGTCTCCCAAATTTCCAAAGATATGTGCATTTTAAAATCTTTTACTATATATTGCCAAATTTCCCCTCCATAATTGTTTCTCCAACTACCCAATTATACTTCTGCCAGTAGTTTATAAGCCTGCTCATATTCCACAAACGTTTCCCCCCCAAACAGAATATGCTTACTTTCTTTCATTTTTTATTTTTTCCCCCACTTTTAAGATGTAAAATCAAGTATGTAACTCCTTGGATTTATATTTTTGTTCACTACAGGTGCTATATCAATATTTAGAAGATTACAACAGCAGACAGAGATAGTGAGTATAACACAGGATCAGACAAGGCCTCATTCTGTTGCATGTAGGGTCTCTATGAGTAGAGGCCGACTTGATGACACCCAACAACATTGACTAATATGTGTGTGTATATTTAACTGTCTTTGTTTGCCTGTGTTTGCTTTTAATCAAACTTAAGGAAAACAAATAAAGCCATGCCCAGAATGCTGAGGAATTATTTGCCATGAAGTAGGTATCAGAAGCACAGACCCCAGGCGAGGGCACAGTGTGTCTAATTCTAGGTTGTAACTGCCCTCAGCCCTGGGGTAGTTGGGTGGAGCTCATAGAGGCTTCTGGCAGAGCTAACGTTGGCTGTTACCTCAAGGTGCCGCACAAACATCACGACAGCCAAGGTGCGGTATGTATAAAGAGTTGAGGCTGAATGAGAGGCCTCACCAGACAAACCAACCTGTTACCAACCTAGGGCAAGGACAGCCTCTTTCTAGTCCTGCCTGGGATGTGGAAAGACCTGACCCCAAACCTGTGCCTGAGCCCCCAAGGAACAGAGCACAGAGCATCTTTTTGCCTTGTCCTCACCAGTGTGGACAATGGAGGTGGAGGTCAGCACTGGTGGTGGGGTGAGATGGGGAAAAGTGGAGCAGGAAGAAGATAGCACATTTCAGGGAAGCAGGAAATGGGATAGTGCCGGAGCCAAAGCTTCACATGCTCCACTACCCCACTGGCCTTCACCTACAAAACCCAACTCAATGGTAAAGTTACCAGGAAATTCAAGACAGCTGCTACAGAGCATTAAATCTCAAGCACAGGTCCCTCCTGAACTGGGTCCTGGACAGCTACATGCCCGTGAAGCTTGCCTTAGCCATACAGGGAGGAGACAGTGAAATGAGTTCCTCTTCATGACCTTTTATGTAGACTTAGCTTTCCCCCAGCATTTTCCAAACCCTGCTTTTTCCTTTACACCCTAGTGTTGTACACAACCCCCTTCCCGGGTTTGTTACTTTTGTCCACATTGACTGACACTTCCTGGGATTGGTATTTTTGTTTGCTTCTGAGCTGTCCTGTGATTGGTATGCATCTTGCAGGGATTGGCCAATATATTATACAGAAGGAGCAACCGAGAGCTATGCAAATGAGATTCTAAGGAATTGGCCAGCTTATGGCCCTGGTGGGAGGGTCACTTGAATTTGTGTGGATATGAAGTCAGCCTCACAGAGATTTTTCAGACAGGAAGAAACAGGAAGGAGAAAAGATTTGTCCTTATGAAGCTGGATTCTTTCACTCAACAAAATGCTCCCCAGCCTCTCCCATGTTATGAAGTATTTTACGGGATCATAGCATTCCATTGTGTGAATGTACTTGCCACAATTTCTCAATTCATTTATTTGTCGATAGGAATTTGGTCTATTTCCATTTTCTTGCTAGTGTGAAAGATTCAATGGGGACTTGAAAAGATTGATTAATAATAAGCATAGATGAATAGTAATTAATGATATAAAATACAGTGTATATGGATAATAAATAAAATACAATGTACATGCATGAAACACAATGTATATGAATTATTGCATATAAATCATGAAAATATTTGAAGGGGGGGAATAAAGGACAGCAGTAAAGAGAGAAAGAGAAGGTGAGGAATCTTTTAAAAGAGCTGGAAGCTGGGTCAGACAACTCCACTCATCATTGTTGAGTTGGAACCAACTTACAGCTGACCTTTTAGGGGATTTTTAAAGGCTGTCAATCACATGGGAGGAGGGCGTCCATCTTTCTCCCTCAGGACAGCTGGTGGATTCAAACTGCTTGCCTTTGGGTTGGAAGTGCAACTCCTTACCCACTAGGCCACTAGAGTGAAGAACTGTAAATGTGAATTGCATGAAAGACCCAGTGGGGCCCTGTGGCACAGTGAGTGGTGACAGAGGGTGGAGCCAAGAGGAACTTAGCCTGAGAGGGCCGAGAGGAGGTCACCCTTGCAGGCTGGGAGGAGGCCAGCACAGTTGCAAAGTGCTGGGTCAGCCGTCCGGACAGAAGGAAGAAGACTTTGCTTGCCTGCTTCCGGATCCTGATGGGAGTTGTACCTTGCTAACATCCTCAATAAACCACTTAACTGGAGAGTTCTCTGGAGTCACTGCACTGGATTGTCAAACTCAGAAGCAGAGTGCCATGGGAGGGGAGACTAATGCTGGAATTAGAAATTTTTTTAAATGAAAAAAAAAATAGTTGGAGGATAGAAATATGTACGCTATCCACTTATCCCCATATATTTGTTCCCTCTGAAGTTTGACTGCTATAACCATCATCATAATTCTACAGCTAAGCTGCTGTGGTTGAGGCACTAATGGGCCTTCCTTCTTCCATCTCCTCCTCTCCCAGCATCTTTGCTGGACCTCAGGGCTCCTGAGCATCATTTGAAATCACTTACCTGGCCCACCATTCTCACTTTCTCTGGTGATTGGACACACACACTCTAGCTCTGATTTCTTTTTTTTTTTAGCTCTGATTTCTTAACTCCAAATCTAGGCACTTTCTCATTTCTTTAAAAGGGAATAAGCTTTCCTACCTCGTGTAGCTACTGAGAGGATCAGTAAGTCAATATCTAAAGGTTTTAAGGAGACCTGGGTGTGCAAGAGGTAAGCACTCAGCTGCTAAGCAAAAGGTTGGCAGTTCCAACCCACCCAGCAGTTCACTCCTCAGGAGAAGACCAGATAATTCACATCTACAAAGATTACAGCCCTCCACCCCTAAAAAATCCTGTGGAGTAGTTTTACTGTGTAGCACAGGGGTCCCTGAGGCACCTAGCAGCA